TCAGTGAGGTTGTAGAGAGGAAAACCATACTAGAATAGGTTTATGAAAGCCTGCAAGAAGCAGAAACTTTTTAGTAGCTTTTCTGTACACTGAATATAGAGATGGGGTAATAGCTGGAAATAAATGTGGGGCCAAAGGTTGCTTTTTAAAAAGAAGATTATAATATAGCATATTTGTATTTGATGGAAGCACATTTTGAGAATCTCTCACTCACAGTGATCAGTTCCACAGAGAAAAATGTAGCTAAAGATGACTGCAGAGTAATGTTCTTTAACATGGGCTAAAAAAGTAGAGTGTATAAAATCAAATGTATAGACAGGATGAACACAGAATTATCCATCAATTTTTAGTATACTTAGAACCAGGATACATAAGAACAAGCTAAAAATAAAGCATGAGAATATGGACTGTAAAGTATTAATTTATTTTGTGAGCTACATTGAATAAAGCAGTACATTTGAAATAGGCTATCCTCAAGTGTAAAAAATAAACATACTCAGTAAATTTTTCCAGAAAGAAAGACTCCATTTCAGGTAACAGTTTGAATAATCAGTTCTCCTGGAAAATATTTAAAGCACATTAAATTAAAAACTCACATATTTTAGGAAAATTTTCCTACCTTTACACAATTATCAGAATATTTAAAGTTTTACCTCCATTTATTGACTAATTGTCTTCCCTGGTGGTTCAGTTGGTAAAGAATCTGCCTGAAATGGGGGAGACCTGGGTTCAATCCCAGGATCAGGAAGATCCCCTGGAGGAAGAAATGGCAACCCACTCCAGTATTCTTGCCTGGAGAATTCCATGGATAGAGCCTGGTGGATTACAGTCCCACGGGGTCACAAAGAGCCAGACATGGCTGAGTGACTAGCACTTTCTCTTTCACTGACTGATTATTTCTAGAAATACAGCATTAAGTTAAACTAAAGGCTTATCTTCCCAAAGGAATATTTTACCAGTTTGTTTAGGTCTTTTTCCTCTTTTAGCTATAAGCTAAAAGACTATCATAAATGTAATTTTAGCCCATCAATAATCTAATTAATATATTTGACCAAATAATGTTGGTTTTTACTATATATAATAGCTCAAATTTATTCTGAGTTTATTATGTTCTATGTACTATACAAAGAAGTCCATTTATTAAACAAAGAACATGCTTATTTAGGTCATACAAAGGCTAAAATGAAGTGTGTTCTAAGTACTGTCAAAAGTAGTGCCTTAAAAAAAAAAGCAGTTCCCTGAAGAGAGTGTCTTAAGAAGAGAGATGGCCTTAGCAGTCATATTCCTTTAAAACATTTTAGAAGGAGGAATCACAACATCAACTAAATAAATTCCTCTATTAATGTTCTTTCATAGGGGAAAAAAAAAAAAGGCAAATCACATCTCAAAGAGATGATACTGGTAACCTTGTCGTGACCTAAAGAGTTAACTTGGTTTTATTCTTAGTACAAGAGAGTTAGTTATAATGAGGTATGTCTTAAGGCTTGTAAACAAAGGGAATAGCCTAAACATTTTAGGAAAAAGGAAGCTTGTTATGTAGAACTGGATGCATGATGCCATGAAACAGTCCATTCATTAAACTAATTATCCTTGTTCTGAGTCCATGTCTGTCAAGCAAATTGATGATTTACCATATCAAATCTGCTTATAAAAAGAAATGAATTTTCATTTACCCTACCATGACCATGAACATCCTCAGTCAATTTCTGATTATGCATTAGTAATAAGTATGTAATCTGTTTTAGTTACTCTCCTGAGCCTGGTTAATGTGACTCTCTGATCCTTGCATATGGGTCAGTCTTGAGGGTACTCTAGGGTCTTTGAGAGTGAGACTGAGGCAGATCAATTCAATAACGTAATGAAACACACCCTTGTTTTCAGGATTCTTGGGAGACCATATACCAACTTCTTACCCCAGATAGTATGTGCAAAAGGCCTTTCCTTTTATTCTCCACATAGATGAGGTGTGTTGGAAAAAACCTGGCTTACTAATGCCAAGTGGTCTTTCCTTGACCAAACTCTAAACAGGCTCCTCTGAGCCACTGTTTTAATTAGGCCTCATCCTTGTGTAAGCAGATGGGGTATGGGGTCCCTGAAGAAAAAGAACCAGATATAGTTTTTGACATAGAGAAGCCATTTGAGGCCTAAACCATTTTGTGATCTAAGCCTGGTCACAATGCTTGACCTTGAACAGGTCTTGATAATAATGATCTTACAGGAACAAAGGACTCTTATCAGGCCAGGAACAACAGCAAAGATAACAAATCAGATAATAAAGACTTCCAAGTCTGCTTCAGTGGTAAAGATTAGCCTGAAGCAGTTTCTTGAGTTGTTTTGATGAATTTAACCCCCCTCCAGGGCTCAAAGTTGGACCATTAAGAAGGCTGAGCTCTGAAGAATTGATGTTTTTGAACTGTGGTGCTGGAAAGACTCAAGTGTCCCTCGGACTGCAAAGATGAAAAACCAATCAATCCTAAAGGAGATCAACTCTAAATATTCATTGGAAGGACTAACGCTGAAGCTCCAATACTCTGGCCACCTGATGCAAAAAGCCCACTCACTGAAAAAGACTCTGATGCTGGGAAAGATTGAAGGCAGGAAGAGAAGCAGACGGCAGAGGATGAGATGGTTAAATAGCATCACTGACTCAATGGACATGAATTTGAGCAAACTCTGGGAGACAGTGAAGGACAGGGGAGCCTGGTGTGCTGCAGTCCATGCGGTCACATAAGAGTCAGACACGACTTAGCGACTGAACAACAACCAGGGCTCAACCACCAGATCTACTGGAAGCTAAGTGATGATGATGTTGGACCTTTTCTGACACTCCTAACTTCAATCAACTAGAGCCTGGAACTCTGTTTACTTTGCCAACTCCAAGGAGAATTCTTTGTTCAAGCTGTTTCATGAATATGCATGAACCTTTAGTTTAAAACTTCCCCAATTTTGGAGCTTGGGGAAAAGTCCCCAGTGTTCTCTTTACTTGCTGCAAGTAATAAATCTTTCCTTGTTTGATTTGGTCATGTCTAAGGACTACCATAATAATTTTTCCTTTTAATAATCTTTTACTCTAAGTTTTAATGATAACTCTATTTGGGAAGCATGCTTTTATCATAAATGAAATAAATGAAATGGGAATGTGCATATCTCTAATTTAACTCTATCACTACCCTCAATCTAAGACAAAAGTCCCTTAACAGAAGATTTGCTCAAAAAAGGTCAAGTAGTTCATGAATACAAATGAGTATCTATTGCTTTTAAACCAAGACTTAGAGGACAGGGTCAAAAATAATAACTAACTACTTAAAACTTCCTTCTACTTCCTCTAAAAATAGATCTTTTGCACTTAGGGTAACTACTGGGCCCAGGTTTTTGTTTCTGATTGGGATGTAATAGGAATGAGACACGAGGGAAGGGAACAGGGCACAACCTTTTTTAAAAGAATGCCACAGTCATTGAGGATAGAGAAAAAACTGGTTAGAACCAACTAGGTCTAAGATGGTGGAAGATTTTTGACTACCAGTAGCGCCTAAGCCTCATTTCATGCTCATTGTAATACATTAACTAAATGATACAGCCACAGGCGCCATGACAGTTCCAAGGCGGACCATAAAAGGCCAAAAAGTGGGCATGGCCCAATTGCTGGAAATCCCTGCCCTTTCTCCAAGAGAGTAGGAATAATTCTCCCACTATAATAAGCTTATGAAACTACCCAGCCCATAAAACTAACAACTCCCACACCCGGGCACAGTTTTCACCTCTTGAGATGGCCTGTATTCTGTCTATGGAATCTGCATCTTTAAATAAACCTGCTTTCACTTTACTATGACTCGCTCTTGAATTCTTTCCTGCCCAAAGCCAAGGAACCTCACTTGATGGCCTGTCTCTAGGACTCATGGAGACCCGGGACATGACCATCCTCTAATGCCCCGTTTTTCCTGTAATAGGAAGAACCTGAGAAAAGATTAGGTTAGCTAATGTATTCTGAATGTCAAACTAGAACATGATACACAGAAGAACCACCTTCTCTGCCTTTTCATATTTAAGATAAAAGTTCATTTTTCTCCCGCATAACAGACAAGTGGTTTGGGATGGGTGAGTAGATCTGATTTGCAAAGTCATTCTGGGACCTAAGTTGATGGGTTATCTCTGCCACCGTTAACATGAGGCTTCCATCTGTGGGTCTAAGGTGACTCCATTTCCCAGAGAACCAGCTTTACTTTGGTTACATTTATTTTTAAAAATAAAAACAAAACAGGGCTCATTATAAGAAAAAGCAATCCTACCTCCCCAGAAGGTCTGATAACTGGGCAGGACTGCTACAGAAGTTATCAAGAGTTGCTTTATAGAAGTAAAAGTTTCAAGGTTGCTGAACTAGGATACTCTTACATATTCAAAAAAGTATTACATCTTTAAAAAAAAAAAAAAAAGACTGTTTTATGATCCACTTGAATGACATCTGATGACCAAATACTATAAAACTTATTCCTAAAAATTTTGTGGTTTTTTTTCCCCTAAAAAACCCCCTAAATATAATCACAGAGAATTGTGACAACTGTTAGATGCAAAAGGGAAGCTGTGATGGTTTTGCTTAACGCTTGCATCATTACAGTGATACAACACAACTGGTGGTGCAATCCAGTGCCAGTATCACAATATTCTAAGTTAACATTTTCATCCTTTGCTGTCTTTTTTTTTTTTTTCCTGGTATGTTTAACAGTACTAGAAAAAAAATCTTACTAGAAAAGTTATCATCATCAGATAGTATTATAAAATATGATCCATGCTTTGGCTACACTCCCTACAGCTGAAGATAAGGTTTTCCAAACAGTTGTTTTACTAACACTAAGGTAAACTGGTCTAACCTAAAACAGGTAGTGGACCAGTATTCTTTTAAAAGAAGGTTCTGTGCATTTGGAAACTAAGTGGAAACATCAATACTGATTATACCAAGGCCAAGCATTCGGACAATTCAATTGTGTATTTAATACAAACAAAAATATTTTATAAACACAATCTTTTATTTTAAACTTCTTGTTAAAAATGAATCAGTAAGTGTCCTGTTAATCACACCAACAAATATATTGTTAGTTGTAAGGGCAAGCTGAATTCAGTAACAAAAAAAATCCGGTAGCAATATGAAACAGATAATTTAAATAATTACTCTTATTTTGATTTACTTATTCAAAAACCATTCAAATCAAACATTTCATTTTCTACAGATTTATAATATTCTGCCCTCTATGGAACTAAACACAAAGTGATTCTGTATCATCTGCCGTAATATGCACAGATTTCTAATGCCTCCAGTTATTTTGTTAAACTTAGAACAATACCTACTCGCTTCTAATAGTCATTTAGATTCTAGTTCTGTTCCTTGAATTATATTCCGAATCTTCTCAGCATCATTTTGTACAATTTTGTTCGATGGATCAATCTTAAGAGCAGCTTCATAATCCTGTAGGCCTGTATTTATATAGCAATGATGATCAATAAAATATTTTCTAAGTACCTGTGCTATCTAGACAACATCTTTTAAAAATAAAAAAAGATCATTAAATCCATGGTTTAGCATAAGTAATAGGCTTTGGTCAGATTCCCATTTTCACATCCATTCTAAAGAAATTTTTAATTAATTTCAGAAATAATTATAATAATTTTAACCAAGATTCAGTAAGAAACAGTAATTTTAAACTGAAATACAAATAAGTTAGCAGCTTAAACTCATTAAAGCATGAAGAGATTCAAAACTCATATATCAAAAGGACATTTTTAATCACCTCAACTGAAAAGTAATTAATGTCATCTTATTTCAAAATTCTAGATCCTAAAAAATTAATTTTGGTAGACTTAATCCATACTTTATATAACTCATAAACTATCATTTGTGCTTTTTTTGTAGCTATCCTATCTACAAAATTTGTGAAAAATTGGTTAAAAAGGAAAGCATTGTAGACTAGATGTTAAAAATATATAGCTGAACCTAAATCTTTACCAAAAAAATCAGTGGGAAGAATTTCTTTGTGAGTAACTCTGGTGGCTCAGTGGTAAAGAATCCTCCTGCAATGCATGAGACACAGGTTCGATCCCTGGGTTGGGAAGATCCCCTGGAGAAGGAAATGGCAATCCACTCCAGTATTTTTGTCTGGGAAATCTCATGGACAGAGGAACCTGGTGGGCTACGGTCCATGTGGTCACGAGAGTTGGACACAGATTAGGGACTAAACCATCAACCACCAAGGAAACTTGAGTTCCAGGTGCTATGGATTTGACATGTCACTTCAGGCAAATCACTCAATGTCTCCAAGCCTCCATTTTTTCATCTTTAAAATGTAGGTTCAATAAAGTCTTTAAGTTCAAAAAAGTCTATGATGCTGTAATTCCTAAAGAATGCTTACAGCGTTTCATTCCTGTCTTAATAATTTTTATCCTCATGAAGCTGGGTATGACTCAAAGAAAGGATAGGCACATAAACCTAATTTGGATGCTTTGGTTAGAAAAATCTAAAAATGACAGAAACAAGCTTACAAACATATCAGAAATAGAAAACTTTATAAGCTAAAGCCCATTTCCTGGCAAGACATTATCAGAATTAGGCCTTTAGGTCTTGAATGAAGAGAAACTGAACTGGTATCTGGGTGGGGGGGTATGAGAAGAGCACTGAAGATAAAACTCTGGGACAACATGAATAACTGCAAATAGTTCTTAAATACATTAAAAATGAAAAACAAAATAAATTAAAACACTAAAAATCAAATAAATATGGGTCCATATACATGGGACTGAATTACAAACTTTAGTACATTCTCACAAAAATAAGCAACTGATCATGTACTGTGCTACATCAATTGTTTCTGAGCTTATGCATGCATGTATGTATGCATGTCCTGGAGTAGGAAATGGCAAATCACTCCAATATTCCTGCCTGGAAAATTTCATGGACAGAGGAGCCTGGCAGACTACAGTCCATGGGGTCACAGAGAGTTAGACACAATTGAGCATGCATATGTATGTATATGCTATCTGTGTGTCTGACAAAAGAAGCTATTTTGAAATTTCCATTATTTCTTTTTTTTTTTATTAGTTGGAGGCTAATTACTTTACAATAAAATTTCCATTATTTCTTAAATGATTCATTTATATCCTTTAGCACACATTTTTTCCACAAAAAGTTGTCTGATATTACAGCATCTCCCTAGACCTAGGGAGATGTTTATAACTTGCATTAATTCCCTTCTACAATGATTTTTTAAAAATATTTCAAGTCATCTTTTGCCAGACAAATTACAAAAAATAAATTAAATGCTAAAAGTATAAAATAATGGAGTCATCTTGAATAACGGCAATGACATTTTTTTTCATAGTACAACCTGGAACTTAAAACATTTCATCTCTTACCTTCTACATACAATTCTAGTTGACAGAATGCTGTTCCACGACGTATGTATGCCTTCATTCTTGCATTAGCATTGTCTGCAACAGGTGGTATCAGTATTTCTAGGGCCTTACAGAAAAAAATAGGGAAAAACATAGTTTCCCAATTTAAGCTTGAGCAAAAACAAGATAAAATTCAACTTTAAAACAAGCCTCAGGCCCTTACCCACCTAAATTTTTGGCTTAACTGGAGAGGAATTTATCAAATAGATACATTTATGTTAAACAATTTAAGGACTTGTTTGATTGTTCCTATACAAGACTCACTCCCTTGCCCCCAGACTTACGTTTTGGTTTATCATTTGAAACCTTTACAGGTTTACCTTTACTAGCAGGGAATGGTTAAATAGCATTAATTTAGTTAATGTTATTAATTACAATAATAAACATACTATATATAATGCTTTTATATTCAAATTTGGTGATTCAGTTTATTCATTCATTCAATAAATATTTGTTCATGAAACTGCTAGTAAAATGAAAACTGGATCATGAAAATATTGTCAGATTTTCAATAACTTAATGAAATTGAAGCATGAGGACTTAATTGTTTCCTCCATATCGTCAATCTCAAGGAGACTCGTAACAGATTTTGCATGTGAGTTTCCCTTAAAATGTTACTTCGATATGGAAAAAAAGAAGAAAAACTAGTTTAAGATAATGACATGCTATTCACAATGGAAATTAGGATATACTAAGTAACTCTGAAAATGGAGAAATGATTATGGAGATATCCTTCTATTGTGCAAGTTGTAGTTACATCAAGTCTCTTTCTGTCTCCCAATGTCTCCAAAACTTTATTAAGAAAAAAGGTGGGTACAAACTGACTACCATTTACTAATTTCCCTTTGAAATTCAACTGATACACTAAGTCAATTGATAAGGTATCTCTAATCTAATTTGATTGCAGCCATGAAATTAAAAGACGCTTACTCCTTGGAACTAAAGTTATGACCAACCTAGACAGCATATTAAAAAGCAGAGACATTACTTTGCCAACAAAGGTCCATCTAATCAAGGCTATAAACTGAATCTAACTTGAAGTCTCAAACTACATCAATAACTTATCCATAAAAAATTTTTTTTCAGTAAAAATATGTAATAGGTGAGAAGATTCTTAAAATCATAGCATCTCAATTATTTAAATTTACCTGACAAAAGATAAAGCCATCACTTCAATCAATAATGGGAGCAGAGCAATTTTAAAGCAATATATATAAATAGATACAAATACCTTAGAAGAATCTTCGATGGCCTTGTGTAAGTTTTTCAGTTTTAGGTGGCAAGCAGCCCGATTCAAATACAGTAGTGGAATCTTATTATTTAGTCTTATGGCTAAGTTGTATGCATTAATAGCTGCCAAATAGTTTTCCGTTGCAAACAATTTGCTAATGGGACAAAAACATAAAAGAAAAACAATGTAACACAGAAACACAGAAATACTATCTAATGATATCTGGCAGAGGGGATGGATGGCTGACCTCTCTTCCCGTTCCTTGAATTATACTGGATGTTGCAGGTGGCACTATTGTACCTATCCCCCGAACATCAGCATGTAATCTGAACAGGACTGGCCTCACCTCCGCCTCCAAGGGCAGTTAATAAGTAACTTAAGCCAGTAGGCATATTTCCATCCTCCTTGCTACAATGACTGACATAGGGATGGATTTTTGACCTAAACTGCTTTTTCAGAAAGAAGCCTGTGATTTTATAATACCACCAAAGTTGGAGAGCAAAAAATTGGGAAAACGCCCCCTGCTGGATACAAATGTAGAAAGCACACAAGCTAAAATTGTTGCTGATGGTTTTGAAACTGTGGGAGTAGCCAGCACTAGAATAAAGCTAATACTATGGAATTATGAAAAGGATAATAAGGCAGAAGGAAACTCGAATTCTTAGTGATACAGTTAAGCTGTTGGATCAAGCTTTAACCGACAAGTAACACACCTTTAGTTTTTTAATTATGTAAGCAAATAAATTCCTTTAAATACTGCTTATGCCTATGCATGCTCAGTTGTGTCTGACTCTTTGTGACCCTGTGGACTGTAGCCCATCAAGCGCTTCTGTTCAAGAAATTTTCCAGGCAAGAATACTGGAGTGGGTTGCCATTTCCTCCTCCAGGGGATCTTCGTGACCCAGGGATTGAACCCACACCTGTGTTTCTTGTATTACAGGCGGACTCTTTACCCACTGAGCCATCCTTTAAACATTAAGCCAGTTTAAATTGGGTTTCTCAGTTACTTGCAAAGGAAAGCATTCTAATAAATACACTCTCAGTTCAAATCTCCCCAAATTCTCTTCAAATAAAGATATATACATAATTAAAGGATTTATTTAAAATGTAATTTCTTTTCTGTTTTTCACATACAATTCCTAGTATTTTGAAAAATACGTAAACATAAGGAAAATAGAAAGTCTTTCCAAATATAAAAGTGCCTTATAAACAACATTTAGTATTCATTTACAGACAACTGTACTATACACTTCACAATTTTAGAATATTAAACACAATGACTTCAAAAGCAGACCCATAAAAGCACCCTGCAAATCATGAATAAAAGGTAAAAGGACACCACAGTGACATCTAACCTAAGTCTGACTCAGGTTTAAAATAACCTGCACAAACTAGAAAAGCTAATTCTGTGGGAACAGTTTACATTTCTGAAAAGTCTCATATCAGCTAGGATGCTTCTGACCACAAGTAACAGAACCTCAACTCAAACTGGTTTAAACAAGGAAGGAAACAGATCACCTCACATTAAACCAGCTTAGAGGGAAAGACTCCATACCCCATGTGATCAGTAACACATGGGTCTTATCAAGGCCTCAGGTTCCCGCTCCATCCTACTGGACTCAGCAGCTGCTTCATCCTGGGGCTGGTTTTCCTTACGCATGGCTCAAGGTGCCACACTCAGGCATGATATTCATTAAAAGAAAATACCAGTATCTTCTGGTATATGCTTGTTGAGATCAAGAAAACATTGCCAGAAATCTCCCAGTTTACCACCTTTCCCAAATCTCATGGATCAAAAATACCAAGCCTTAAAAAGTATTTGCCTTAAAAAACCTACCAGTTTCTTTCATTCTCAGTCCTTCCACCCATTCTCTTTCTCTAATTTCACTCCTCAGTTCTATATACTGCTGTTTGGAAACTTCTTTAAATAATTCAACAATATGACCATCTATCCACGTTAACAAATACAGAAATATACTATTTTCACAGAGATTTTCACAGAAGTTCCCTCCTTTGTGCAAGGATTTCTAAAACCAGTCTCCTCCTACTAATGGACACTCACGTGTCTTGTTTCCCAATATTCAGCTTTTATAAACAATACTGTAATAAACATTGTTTGTGTGTGTGTGTGTGTGTATATAAAATACACACACCAGCAGTGTGATGATAGTAATCTTGATATGCTGCAGTCAATCAGAATTTATCCCTGGTCTTGGGATAGGGTCCCCACCCTAAGTCACATAGACAAGGTCTACACGCCTAAACAAAATAGGGACTCTACCAGCAAGGATAAAAGGAGACAATAAATGTTGGCTAGATAATCTATTGTGTCTACTACAAACCTTTTTAAATTAAGTAACATTTAATTGCAAAATTTACCATTTTAACCATTTTGAAGTGTACAGCTGAGTGGCATTAAACACATCAACACTTTACACACTTTTGTACAACCATCACCACCATATACATCTAGAATGTTTTTATCTCCCCAAAACAAAGCTCCGTTGAATCTAAGCCAAGGGATGAAATGCTTTCATCTCCAGAGGCTTTGTTTCATGCTAGCCTTCTATATTTACACAGATGTAAACAGTCCAACTGTCCTTTACTGTGTTTAAACTCACGGGACACTTGTTCACAGAAGGGTTGAGGTGGACAAGCCTTCCAAAAGAGCAATAGATTGAGAAAACTGTTAACGAGCTTGTGTCTACATACTACTATATAAAAAAGATAGTCAGAACCTATGGTACAGCACAAGGAACTCTACTCAATACTCTCTAATGACCTACATGGGGGAAGAATCTAAAAAAGTGTGGATATATGTATATGTATAACTGATTCACTTTGCTGTACATCTCAAACTAACACAACACTCTAAACATCTGTATGCCAATAAAAATTTTAAAAAAGAACCATTGTAGGAGGTTCAATAGGAAGAAATATGAAATATTAAACATTTTCAACGTTTGCATATATATTAAACTATAAATGCAATGAACATTATATTCCTAAAAGTTTAACACCAGTACAAACATTCAACAAAGTATAATTTGTTTTATGACTTTCAGAATGGTTCTGAACTCAGAAATGGCTGAATTTCAAAAGGAAAGGGGGAAAAAAATAAACGTCAGTCTTAGGGGCAGTAGCATTTGAAGAACAAATTTAAACACAGAAGCTAATAACCAGTAAGTCTCGCGTGATGGCTCCAAATAAAGCAATGACAGTGAAAAGAATTATACAAAAATACTCATTCAAAACATACTGAGTCCTTACGGTACTGCCTGTACAGAAAGAACAGATGTGGACAATTGCAAACATTACTGTCATTTTTACAATGACTGATTGGTTTCCACTGTAAAAAAAGAAACATCATGATTGGCAATAGCCAGAAAGGCCAAACATTTTGAGCAACAGTTGAACATAACAGCAGCCATAACAAGCAGAAGTGATTAGAAAGAAGCAATCTGGAGGGAAGTAAAGAAAGAGACAGTAAAAAAAAAGTTAAAGAGAAATCAAAAGCAGTGGTGCTTAGAAACAGCAGAGGAGGCCAGGAGTAACACATATTCCAACAGAAGACACAACAGCTCTATTTGGTGGGCAATAAGAACTCTAACAGCACCTTACCCCTCAAAAGATTTTGAAGGTCCTTGTTTCTTTCATCTTATGTGGGTAGAAAACATTCTTGGTATTTCAAGAGCTTCTAAAACTGAGTATTACTGCACCTTAGTGAAGGAACATCAACCAGCACAATTTAGCACTCAGGATGGAAGGAGGAAAAGGATGCTGTACGACTAAATAAAATGACAGGTTAGGCCATAATGGTGACTGCATTGCAATGGAATATTTTGGGTTGTAAAATGCATACAATCAATCAACAAACAAAATTATAATTATGTCAAAGAAGTTATTTTAGAATATGGATTCTAAACTTCAAGTCAGGCAAAAGACAGCATAAGAAAGCTGTCTTATCTCTACAAACACACTTGTAAAAAAATGCAGCAGAGCAAGGCAAATTTGGCAGATCTGTTCTGAAAGTAGGCAGATCCAAGAGGATACTGGGAGACAATTTTCCATGGGTCTTTTATGTTCCTGCATGTCATATGTCAACAGATGCACTGAGGGCTTTTGTTTGGGACTGTCTTTTCAAAGCTGTTTGTATAGTGGACACCCTTGGATGACAGAGACATGGTCTCTCTCTGAGGCAAATAATAGATTTGTTTGCTGTTCAGAATAATAAAGATATTATCACCCTGTGAGGTAAAAGTTAGACAGGTTTGCTTATAATACTCTTGTAAAAAATTGTGTTCCTTAAGCTTGGCCTTCTCAGCTCTGGTACAAACCTATTTTGTGTACAGCATCCACTTGGGTCCACTTCTGCATTGGTCCTAAGGGATTTCAGGCACAGAAGGAACTAACATGAAGGTCACACTGTTTGACATTCCTTGAATAGTAAAGTCCTTTGTGTTTGACTCAAGAGTCTCCTGACTTCTGCCAGCATCTGTGAAACTGTGGTAGGCTAATTCTTCACAGTTCTTGTCAAGGCATGGATCCAAACCAAAGTACCAGAAAGAAATTCAATCTGGCAAGCAGAACCATATATCCAGTGTTGGGAGAAGCTGGTAGCAGGTGGTTAACAATCAGCATCAAAAAGTTCAACATGAACTAAAAGGATATCCAGACAGGCAGACAGAGTCCAGCTACAGAAAATTCACAAACAGCAAGCAAACAGGGATTCAGACTGGCACAAGTTGGTACTAGGTGAGTCAGTGAGCAAATGGCAGGCTCCTACACACAACGCGGGGGTTCAGAAGCAGAATTAACCTGGGTGGCAAGAGAAAAAGTAAAAGCAAATCACAGCCTCAGTCTTAAAAGGAATGGAGGATTAGGCAGATTCTTAATGCTGGCACTTAGGCCAAGGGAAAAAAAAGAAAATTCAGACACTAGAACTAGGGTAGGTAATTTTATGTCATGACAGTAATATGCTGCTGGGTGCTACTAGATTGCAGAATTACATATCTTTAGTTTCCTCCTATCTAACATTATAATTTGCTGTACAGAGTGAGGTATGCAGATGGGATTCAAGTGGTCCTATGTCATGAGAAGAAGAAACTTTCAGTGTGTGGTTAAGACAGTCCAAAAAAACTCATGCTGAAACTC